ACAGGAGGATCACTGAGTCTGAGATGCATAGTGAGACCCTGCACCAAATAAGTATTTTTTAAAAATTTATTAATAAAATAAGAACAAAAAGGAAAACTCAAATACTCTTTAAATCCTCCAGTGAACTTACCTATTAAAGAGCTCTAACACTTTGGGGCTTAATTCAACTCAGCAGTCAAGCATTTGCCTCATATACGCAAGGCCCTGGGTTCGATACCCAGTGCTGCCTCTTCCACCAACACAGCCCTAAGTCTTTTAGCTCTGTATTAATACTCAAATACTCAAGCCAAGCCATGATCTGCCCTGATGGAAGACAAAATTCCTTAAACTGCATATTAAACTTGACTTTCCCCCCTTCTTTCAATAACTGCATGGCACTTCAAACTACTGGAAGAAAACAGAATCATAAAAAGCTGATTATTGTATTTCTCAGTTCTTATTTCACAAAAATCAAAACAATAAAACCCATCTGAAACCAGAATAATGATGACTACAAAGTCAGCAATATATAAAATTACTGAAAAGTAAATACAAGTTGCTATTAGATGTATAACATCTGGAGAAAAGGAAACCAGTCCTGCTTTTTAATAATTTTATTTTTTTCTAATTTTGTTAATTTCCCATAGCACCTTGGCAATGTTGAAAACATACAAATACAAGGATGTACTCATTTTGACATTTTATGCATGAGCATGTTATACCCCTGGTGGGGTGGGGGCAGTTTTGACAACAGAAACAAACCTAAGTGATGGATAAAATGGAAGTAAGATAAGTGATTCTGATTCACCACACCCCAACATTTGAGAAGTGTCAGTCAGACACCTAATTCATGTTAAGAAAAACACAACACTGATGTTGGTATTTTTCTCCATATACTAATCAATGTTCTACTGCAAAACTGAAAATAAAACTATTTAATACACTGCCAGTAATGATCTGAGTTGTACTTTTAGAAATTAAATCAAAGATTCATAAAAATTTCCTAGCTTTTAAGAACATGAAGTTATCAGGTGAATTTCCAAAAAGAATTTAATTTAAAAAAAAATTCACTGCTTTAAAATGTCATTTAGCTAATGAAACAGAAATGTCTGTGTGTCTTCTTGAAAGCTCAGACTAGCTACATTAGCATGTATCAAAAAAGCTAAATTAATGGCCACTAAATTGGAAGGAAATATAAAAAATTAGAAAAAAACCCCATTGTATATTATATTTAAGAATTTATAAAAATCCCTCAGAAGGAATACACTGCTCTCATTTGAGTTGTATCTATTTAAAAACCTGGTACTTTAAAAAATATGGTTAATGTATATTGCCAACACAAATATCAGAGACTTAATCCCAGTGTTGCAGGTTCAAGGTAAAACCAGTAGACATATAAGCCAAGAGACTGATTATTAAGGCCATAACTAATAAAACTAAAGTGTTCAGTAATTTTTAAACACTATTTTCTGGGTCCAGCAGTATTGTTCTTGTTCTCCTTTACACTAGTGAAGATGATAATATTCCATCATTAAGCCTTTAACAAAGCAAATGATTATTTAAAAAGAAAAAGGAGGGACTGGGGTTTAACTCGGTGGCACAGCACCTGGCTGGCAAGCGTCAGGTCCTGAGTTTATTCCCAATACCACCTCCCCGACCCCCACAAAAGAAAAAGGAATGTGAAACAATATCCAAGCTAGCCTTATTTACCAAAATTAAGTTAGAATTCTCCATGTCATTTAATCACTGGTAGATTAAGCTTAAAAAAACTACAAATCATTATCACTGAAAGGTCGTATCTTCCTTCAAACTACAGTTGAAAAATAATTTAAATGGGTCACTACTTTGAATGCCAGTGACTACATGTGGCAAAACTAAGATTACTCAGATTAAAGGTAGACTCTAGATGCTATGAAAACTTTAATTATCAAAATAGAAAATGGAGACAGGTTTTACAATGCCCCCTATGTACCTTCTCTTTGAAGTGCAAGGTGACAAGGTTGTGTGACTTTTCTCTTCATGCAGTAACAACTATGGCAGGTCACTGTACCTTATATTCAATATAATTTCTATCTACTTTTAGGCTTAAAGAGCCCAAGGAAATGTTGAGCTGTAAGTGTGAAGAGAAAAATTTGATATTTAAGTTCCACCATCTAAAGAACCAATAAATAGTTGAACTAGAATGAACACTCACTCTCATCAGAATAATGCTGTAAAAGTCAACAGTATCACATAACTCACAGACATCATTTGGATACAAACCTTGAATCTGCTATAATAAAATAAACACTAAATACAGACTGTGAATAGATATATTTTATACACATACACACGCACACACATTCTTCCCTATATATCCCATCAAATGGGAACTATTACATGTAATGAGGCAAGTTATGTTAAAAATATTACAATTTGAAACAAATTAAAAACTGGTCATGTTAACCTTCTACTTTCAAGAATGTCTAGAGAAGAAAAAAAAAAAAAAAAGAATATATTTACTTCCTTCAAAAAGAAAACTCCTTTCTTGTGTTTCAGTTAGAATCTTCAGGACCAGGGGTATATAGGTCAATGGTAGAGGCCTTGGCTAGAAGGGGTGATGCCCTGGGTTTGTCTGATCCCAAGCACCACAAACAAAGCAAAGCAAAGCAAAGCAAAGCAAAACAAAACAGAATCTTTAGATATTTAGAATTTGGTGGGCTAACAATAACTCACACAAGCATACAAGTAATCTGAGCCTATACCTGTGACACACTGCAGAAAAAAAAAAGTTCCATTTTAAATGCAGTAATTAAGCTTATCATCTTTACAAGTGATTTTTACAAAAAGTTTATTCTCTTAAATCCAATGCATTCACAGGGTGTTAACATTTTAAATGTTTATCATTTCCACCAACTGCAGCATTATCTAAGCAAACCAAAAATCACTTTTATCATAGATGTAGCCAATGATTATTAATTCTTTTTTAAAAAGACCTAACTCCAAAATTTTAGTAAAGGTAGTTTTATTGTTTCATCTAGTAGATGATTTTTAAAAATAGTGTGTAGAAATAATTTCAAACTATGTAAATATATTATACCATGTTATCAATCCACTAAATCATAAGCAATAGCCAAGCTGAATAAATTACAAATAATAATTCTGGCTTGAACAGAAATGTGCAGTGTTTTCAAAGCCCTAAACAGTTACCCACTAATAGAAATCTCCAAAGCTGAACCTAGAGTTGTAAGATGAGTTTCACAGTAATGTAATTTTAACTTCCTTTTACATTCACTTTAATATATTACTAAGATGTTTATATTCTATGTCACAATGGCGCTTTCCAGTGTTCACAATTTACAGTTTCAATTTGTACATATGTAAGTCACTAACATAAGGGACAGTTCTTACTATTACAAACTATCCCAAAAAAGAAATAAAACCACACCCTGCACAGAACTCTGAGCATGGTATGAGTTAAAATAGATTAATATAACATGATTTTTAATATTTTAGTCATTTTCTAAATACCAGCATGTAAACTTGCCTATTTGATATGACAGCTACAATTTTACTCATTGAAAAATTATGCATTTATTTCCTTCAATCAGCTTTCCCATCTTAACCTCTCTTTGACTTGCTTTTTTTGACTCAGTGAATTTCAAACTTTTTTGAAAAGGGGACTGAAGAAAGGCAATAAACTGTAAGCTGAAAAAAGTTCTCTAATAATCCTTTAAAAAATTATTCTCTTCAATACAATTTAAACTTTAAAAAGTTAAGTCACAATTTTGGAAAGGGGCAGTTGGACCTACCAATCTAGAACCTAAATTTCTAAGTATGAGAACAGAAGAATAAAATAATTCATTCATAAATTTACAACAGTTACATGATTTGACTAGACTGGTCAAAGCAGTCAGAAATGTACAATTCAACAGGTGATAAGTTATTTGCTTCTGGGGATTGACAATCAAAGAACAGAATGACGAAGTAATAAAAAATTCTGTTTCCAATCTGAAGAGGGGGACCTGAATTTAAATCTCTGAAATCCATTCAACTTGTTCAGGTCAAAGATGAAATGTATTCTGAGTAACCCTATTCCTTCCTTGAGTATCAAACTGATTGATAGTCACATCTCCAAGTACAATCAGTGCTTTTACAGCTTCTTGAATGAAATATTAGTAAAGTCAAAAAGACAAATTAAATTTCAAACTAAAATCTACTCAAGAATTACATTCAGTTTTCAAATCATTTACTCCCCTGACAACAGATTTGGCTGAAATCACTCTCACACGCACTCCCACCAACAGACACCCCCGCCACCCATCTGCTTGGCAACACAAGGCCATATAGTCAGAGATGGCATTCTCAAAGCCAAACTTTAAATAGATTAAAAAAAGTAATTTCTAATTTTTACAGAAATGCTTCTTCAAAAAATATTTTCTCTCATTCCCTCATCTCCTATACTGAAGGATGTATTCTTCCTCAAGCTAAATCTGAACCCTCAAATTGATTCCAGGCAGAAAATATCTGCAAATTAAAATCAAGAACAAAAATAGAAAAATTATATTTTATATATGTGTATATATATATTTATATATGTATATTTATACTGATTAGAATCCTCCAGCATTTAAAAATCACTTTAGAGATGAATTTTGGGATCCTACTGCTTACAACTTCAGAATCCATAATGATTTAAGGATATACTTTCCGTATCTCTCCCCTCCAAAGCAGTTCAAAAAGCCGCAGCCCAAGTTTCATGGGAAGCGAGGTTTCTGAGTAGTTTTTGTCTGTCTTTACTTTGGCGATCTGGGTGGCACATGCTGCTCCTTGCCGTTACGCCGAGTCACTCCCTGAGGCAGAGCCCTGTGGCTGAACTGGCGTCTCTGTTCCCTGATTTTTCCAGCAGCTCCCCTGGGAATGGTACTGCCTCGGAAGCCAGAGTAATCCTTACTAGCCCTTGCTTCTGGCTTCTCCTGTGGTTTCTCAATAGACTTCTCAGGAGCTCCATTCTCTTGGTTCTTGGTGGGAGACACTGCATTGGAGCGAAGTTCCTGCAGTGGCTGCACAAGAACGGGAGATGGCTCTTTAGGAGGTTTCTGGCATACTTCAGCATAACTTAACTTTCGGGGTTCCTGGAAAAGATAA